TACATGCCACTTCTTAAAGAGGAAACAGTTCCGAGAATTGAGGGAATAGTTGAGCAGCACCCAGATGAAGTTGGAGCCAGCGAGAGTTTCTCAACATGATGAAGCTCCGCCTCATTTTTCCAGATTAGATAGAATGTATTTAGATGAACAATTTCCAAATCGATGGATAGGTCAGAGAGATCCAATTTTATGGCCACCGCGTTGTCCTGACTTATCCCCATTAGACTACTTCTATTGCGGCTTTATGAAATCTAAATTATATCGTGTTCCACCAAGAAGAGATCTGGAAGAACTGAGAGAAGCAACTAATGATACGTCCGGTGAGGCGAATGGTGTAGTGCTAAGCAGAGTACGTGAAGAATCATTGAAAAGGGTTTGTTTTTGCCGGGAACAAAATGGGAGTCATTTTGAACAACTACTTAAATAATAAAGTTCAATTAGATGTTTTGTTTATTAATTTGGAGTACTTATTTACATTTTACGAATAAAAATGTCTTACTCGAATCTAATCGGTTTTCAATTGTTTTTAGTTCAGTAGTTATTCGTACATTATTTGGTGTCTCTTCTTCCATATTCCTATCGTAAAATTCATGATAGCAGATAAGGAGGTAGATGAGATTTGGAATTCCTCTATTATGTACATCATTAAATTGTCATGAAATTTGGCGACCAAGCGCAATCTTGATATTTCAGTTTTGAATTTTCACTCAAAAGGTCGCAAATATAACTGCAAATACCTCAAAATTTAAATTAAAAATTAAAGCCGCTAAAAAATTAGCGAGGGAATAACTTATTTTTGGGCCTTGCTACATAAATAGATTAGTGTTTAATGGAGAAAGATACGACAACTATCGACAATGAGATAGAAAACATCTGGACGAAATAATTTTTAAAAATAAAATCGACATAACATATATGCCAATGTTTTGTCAGAAAATAAAATTAAAAAAATTATACACAAGTATTTTATGATTCACTACTCATAAATTGACTATAATATAGTACCTTGAATGCAATATTTTTTGTTCTAAAGTGCGTCAGATAACTAAAACGCAATATTGCTTTTTTAGTTTCAGGAAATTTTGTTAATTCGGGTTGGCTATAAATTTCCGCAAAAAAATTTTACCTTTTCGATTTTCATCATATTAAGTAGAGCGAAAAATAATTTAGAAAAATTTGTACCTTGAATAAAGGCGTTTACAGTGGATTTGAAAGCTTGTTAAAGATAATAGTCCCTTTAGATTAAAGCCATTTCGGTGTGTAAGGGATAATTAAAGAAGTTTATGGGAAATTAAGAAATGCCCCTGCTAACTCCATTTTCCTGCTTTGTTCAGATATAATAAAATTCGATCAAATTTAGAAGCCTGATTTTGAAGTCACCATTATCCTTCTTATAAGAAAACTCTTGTTCGGTGTGTGAGGATATATTTTCTCTATTATTAAACATAATTTTCGTCAGTTTTTTTATAATGGGAAGTTGTTTATAAAGTAAATAAAAATATGAGAATTCCTTAAAATAAATTAAAAACGTCTATCACGAGCATTCGCACTATTTTCATTATCTTTCCTAACAGTTTCCTATAATATATAAATGTGGTGCAGCGTTTGTATACAAATCTACAAAGTAAAATGAAAAAGTAATCAATCGGCATTTTGTATTTTTTGTAGGAAAATTAATGGGTATTACTGTATACTAGTTAATCTTATAAAAATATATATATATATATATATATATATATATATATATATATATATATATATATATATATATATATATATATATATATGTGTGTATATATTATGAATTTAAATGAGGGATATCTTTGTGTCCTTAAGAACTATTAATTGATGGGAAGTTCACTGGGATAGAACAAAAAAGAAACTAATTCAGTTCAATCACTAACGTTTCGACTATAATTTAGTCTTCTTCAGAGCTCTACAATGATTATGAAACAATTATAAAAGAACAGAGAATGAATTTGACGCGGGTTTAATTACATTACAGTAAAGAACAATGAACTAACAGGTACGCCCGCATAAAGAAAAAAATTGCACGGTGGAAAATGCAAAAATTGCAAATGACAGAAAGATGCAAACCGTGGACACGTGGTTCTGACTAATTGGTATTCATCAGCACGGTGTAGCTGAGTTAAAATGATGGTCAAAACTCAAAAAAGACACTATAGGAAAACCACTGACAGGGAGCCAGTCGCAACTTTGTGGCTTCCACTTGGATGACTCTGGTATGAGAGCATCGTCCAAGCATCGCACACGTGGGCAACTATAGCCACAAAGGTGCGACTGGCTCCCTGTCAGTGGTTTTCCATTAGTGTCTTTTTTTGAGTTTTGACCATTATTTTAACTCAGCTACACCGTGCTGATGAAGACCAATTAGTCAGAAACACGTGTCCACGGTTTGCATCTTTCTGCCATTTGCAATTATCTTTTTCCTTTGTAAAGCCATTATGACTAGACCAGTTTCTCTGATGTTAGTTAATTTTAAATTATAGCCTCAAATCACGAGTAAGTACTCCTAAAATATAAATAAATTCAATTTTAACATTACTATATTTCAAATTGTAGCCTTGAAAAAGACAATAAACATTGTCAAAAGCTTGGCAAAGTGAACAAGAGTTTTCTTTAACACCCTAAAACGGACCGAAGCCCTATTATTTAAAATTCTATTTTTTAACTAGTCGGTCGTGACTACCCTTTGAAAAAAAATCACATTCTATATAATTTTATTAAAATTTTATTTGTTTTAATCAGTTACGTTATATCAAAGACACTAATTCAATTGTCACGTTTTATAATTGTATCCTAATCATTGTAGAGCTCTGAAGGAGAATAAATTATAGCCGAAACGTTAGCGATTGAACTAATTAATTTATTTTCTGACCTATTCCGGCGAACTTCCCATCAATTATGAATTTAAATAATTTACCCTCTTCGATAAAATTAATTAAATTAAAAAGCGTTAATTGATAATACAGAATGTTATTTGTGGAGAAGCATGCAAATCACGAACCGTAATAATGCATGATTTGCGCAATATATAAATCAATGAGGCTGCAAATAGATAATCGTCGCATCCTACTGTACCATTTGACATCCAACCTATGCTACTTGTGATTGGCATTATTGTAGCATAGAATCCCTTTATGCCTCGTCAGAGTAACAATTTTTTTTATTAACTCCCTGAAAACTATTCAGTGCTGCACCATCAATAATTTTACGGCACAGTGGAATAAAATAGAATGGAATTATTTATTTCTGTGACTTATTCAGATAATACAGATATTGTCATAAACTTAATAATCTTTTCTTAAAATGTTTTCTTAACCTCTTCTCAAGTCATCAACAGAGTTTGCAAATCGGTCCGCAAGTCAGGGGCGGTGCCAGGTAGAGAAATACCCAAATACGTAAGCGAGACTTGTTTACAATTTTAGCAAAGACTAAGACTTGATTTTAGTCTATTGTTATGCCTCGTGGCGTATACAACGTAATTTGTTCCTCTCTGTTGTATTGTTGATAATTTTATATTTTGTATTTTATTCTTGATATTAATTTAATAATAAAGTATGTCATCTAAGGGTAAAAAACGGCCATACCATGACAAATTGAATAAAATTACCAGTGAATTTCCTGATTTATTCTACACTGATGCTATAATAATTTCTAAGATGTGCGAGACAGACCTGAAGTGCTGGGACAAACGTGATTGTAAACGTCACGTGAATTCTGTGCAACATAAAACTAAAAAGTGACGTGCCTTCGACAACACAGTTTATGTTCGATTTACTCTTAATGCTGAGTGTACTAGCCAAATAATTACGCGGGTGGTGGTGGAGACGTTAAAAAAATTTGACCCGTCAAAAAGTCAAGTGTTGATATTTGTGACCGATGGTGTTGCGACAATGTGTTTAGTAGGCCGTTCTCTTCAAGAACACAGTTGTAGGTTGGTACATGTTACGTGTAAAGTGCATACTTTGCACCTTGTGGCCGAAACTATTCGACAAGGTTTTCCAGATGTAGATGCATTAATAGCAAGTACAAAAAAAGTGTTTCTTGAATCTCCTAAACGTCTTCGCGCATTTCATAGCAAGTGCCAAGGTATTCCCGAAACACCGCAGTCAATTCTTAGACGTTGACGAATATGGTTGAAGGCAGCTTTTTATTATGCTGAATATTTACAAAAAATAAAAGCTGTGATACTACAATTCAATCCAGACGAAGCTGCAGCTATTAAGAAAAGCTAGACAAAATTCTAGGATGTATCCGTTGAAACAGCTTTAAAAATTATTCACAAGAACTATAAAGGATTACATGACGCCACATGAAACATACAAAACAGTGCGTTGTCGTTATCGGAGTCACTGCAAATAGTGGACAAAGTAAATCGACTACTACCCTCTATAGGTGACGCAAAAAATGAGCCTGTTGGAGAAATGTTCGCACGTGAGTTACAATAAGATACTGTTTTTACCAGATTAAGACAATTTTGTGATGGTACTGATGGTGTATCTGCAGATCCGCTAAGTGAGCTCAAAGACTATTTAAAGCATGCCTGTATTACATCAATAGACGTCAAACGGTCGTTCTCAAAATATAAGCATATTTTTTCACCACACCGAACATTACTCTCGGAGACAACCATAGAAACATACATGATGTTGCAAAGTTTTTACAAATCTTTTCCAGTTTGTGATAACCAAGCTAGTTAAGAGGGTAAGTTGTGCATACATGTTATAAATTGTAACAGTTTATTGCTTTTATTACTAGTGTATTTCTTTTATTACACTTATTATGATGCGTAGACCTATGTCCTGCGGCGCATTTTTGTCAAATATAGTCATCAAAGTAACCCTTAGAAAATCCTAGGATTTTGTGGTGGGAAAGAGAAACGAGATCCTACAGTTTATCGTGGAAACCGAACCACATCTAAGGCATCGACAATTCCCTCCTCATCTTAGTCCGAATCAAATTACAAATAAAATTTCTAACTTGCTCCAGGATGGAATCGAACCATCGACGTTTGGTATCGAGTAAATAGCTGTGAGCGCTTTACCCACCCAGCTACCGTGCCCATGCTATAATAAAACAGAATAATACATATAACACAGAATATGGACACAATATACTTTAATATCTACATGTAAGTATAAAAGATACATTCACGACACTTACATTTGAGCCATGAAAATTTTCCAGTTAATAAAACAATTTTCGACTAAGAAAAATTTTTCCTTTTGTTAGACTTTTTTTAAAATGTACAGTTTTCTACATACATTTGAAAAAAAGCATACATATATATATATATATATATATATATATATATATATATATATATATATATATATATATATATATATATATATATATATATATATATATATGTATATATATATATATATATATGTATATATATATATGTATATATATATATGTTGTTTTTCAGGTTTTCGCGGGTGGTGAATGTTAAATTCGTTTTCCGGGTATACTCCCGCGTAGGTGATAGGCCCCGAGAGGGACCGTGGTTGTCTGAACGACGTTTCGGCAGAATCTCATCTGCCATCTTCAGGGCCTATCGGGGCCTATCACCTACGCGGGAGTATACCCGGAAAACGAATTTAACATATATATATATATATATATATATATATATATATATATATATATATATATATATATATATATATATATATATATATATATATATATATATATATATATATATATATATATATATATATATATATGTATGGATGCTACAACTAATATTTTTTTCTTTTAAAAATATCTCTACACGATTTTCGGCGACCTCATTTTCCAACAACACGGAGCTCCACCGCACTAGTTTGCAGAAGTGAGACAATATCTAGATCAACGGTATATTGGCAGATGGATTGGACGAGGACGGCCCATTGAAAAGCCAGCATACTGAGTGTCGTTTACAGGACACTATTACATCCTAATTGTCAGTACAAAATATTAGGCTCTCAACTTGAATTGTTGAACGTACTACCACTCACTTGAAATGTCCAAATTCCAAATCTTTAGCAATTTTAACGTTGTTGAATTGGTAGTTACATCAGTCTAATTATTGTTTGTTAACCTTGTTGGCATTAAATAACTAGAGAGTTTCGAAAGAGTCCTTATTCTTTGTTAAGAAATTAATAAAGAGCATTTGGTATTGCCGAAGTATAGACTTTTTGTTAAAGCACATTTGGTTTTTGGTAGGGTTACCAACCGTATTCTTTTGGAGTTGAAAATATTAAGCACTGTTACTTTTCTGTTTAAAGCCTAAATATACTCTTTTTTGATTAACAACAACAAAATCATGAAAACATGAAATAAACTTACTCAAAAAAATTTTTCACATGAAACGAATGGGTCAAAACTATCTGTAAGCTAATTAATGAGTTATATCATAAATTTATCAAAACAGATCCTTATGGTTCGGTACTTCACAGATCTGAGATCTAGATAACGTAACTTGTAGTGTTAGTGTATAATATTCTAATATTTAGTAACTCTACCTAAATATCACGCTCTTACAGATATGATTACTTGTCTTGCAGATTTTCATTTCATTATTCACACAGTTTATTGGTTAGGTGCTTGTAGCTTATATATAAACAGAGTACGCAGAGTAGAGTGAAGAGTCGCATTAGTTTTAATTAAGCAGGTTTCGTCACAAATGAAACTTTACGATGAGTTGGATAAAGGATGCTATTGGTTCAAAAAAATCTAAATGGGTCGTGAATCTCGTTGTGAATCTTGTAACGCAGAAAGTAGTTTTTTCCTCTTTAGCCCATTAATTTTGTTCCATTCAGTTGGTGGAATTTTTATTTTAACATGCAATTTTAAGACGAAGGTTTTCTGTAAACGTGTATCGAAAAATATTTCGTAAGGAAATTACAGTGCTTCAAAGAGGTGATCCTGTTAATGGGTTTTCCCAATATTTGAGAAACCGTTAAAGATAAAATTACGAAATTTGGTACACTTTATAACCGTTAAGGGTCTAAGCGAATTCTAAGATCATTAAATAAACTTTTTTTTTTTTGTAAAAATATGTGAAATTTTAAGTGATGATAATAGTGGCAAGAAACTAGAGCAAAATAGGGGAATTTTTACAGTTAGCTTAAGATGCCACTGATTAAGATTTTTAAATTTTGATCTTAGAGTTCGTTTAGACGTACAATGGTTATAAAATGTATACCAAATTTCGTAATTTTCTCTTTAACGGTATCTGAAATATTGGGAAAACCCACTAACAGAGGCACATCTTTGAGGAACTGTAATTCCCTTCGAAGCTCGAAATATTTCGAAATGTTTATAGAAAACTTTTGTATCAAAATTACGTGTTCTATCACATGTTTGAATTTGTAACAATAAAAACGGAACACCCTGTATACGTTTGGTTTTCGATATGTTTTTGTGTGACTTAAGTTGGTAACCCTAGTTTTTGGTTGTTTCCACATAGTTTTGGATAAAATTGTCTATTACTTCATTTGTTAATTAATCTGAAGTATTCATTGCTTTCGATTTGTAAATCGGTTTTATTGGCAAACCAAACGCGAGATTTGCTGGGCAAGTTGCAATTTATAATTTCTTTTCTTAACAATCACGTGTTTGAAGATTAACTATCAAATAATTTTTGTTCTTAATTTATTTTAGACGTTTTTTGACACCGTGAATTTTTAGTTACCATACGTTTCGATACCTACAGTTTTTTTGTACAGTATAAACACTTGGATATTGGATTTTGGAAATTTGGCGAGTTAATTGTAGTTGATTTTTTGGAGATTATATTATACTACTTGTTCCTAATATAGAACTCTTTTAAAACTATTGTTTTGGATCCTTTTCGTATGGTATTCACTTATTGGAACAATTTCCAGGAAATCCTTGTGAAGGTTTACGATTCACCGTAGTTAATTTTTGTCAAATTAGCTCGAGCAGAATACTTTTGAGTCCTGGAGCTACCGACGCTATTATATTTAAGGATAAGTAGTCTATTACAGATTGATTATTTAAAAAATCATTTGCCATTTTTTTTATACTGTGTTTTTTATAGTTTATAATTTAAGATATTGTTACGCCACTGGACTGTGCAGACTGGTTAGATTAGGCTGGAATTGTACACGAACGGCCGGGAATATTCTGGAGTGCCCTAGATTGTGTGAACGGATGTATAAATAAGATGCACGGTGGGCCGAGACTTAATCTTAAGTTGAACGTGAGCGAGTAAAGAAGTAATAAGAAAGAGACTTATAAGTGTTCAAGTGTAATTATAGTTAAGACAGTAATTAATCTATTGTTATTAATTGTTAATTAGTAAATAAAGTAGTGAGTAAGTGTTACCTGGACTTTCAATCAACGAATCTACGAGTGTAGGTGTTTGTGGGGATAGCAAACACGTAACAATTTGGTGTCGGAAGTGGATTGGAAGAGAAATTTCTGGAATATTCGAAAAGGTTCTACAGTGTTCTTCTCAGAAACTAGTGGTAACATGGAGAATTAAGCTACTGGACAGTGTTTGGAGGACTATTTCTGGACTGAATTGTGACTTTAAAGGGGATTTTCGAGAAGTTCTAGAACATTCGATTTAGAAATAGCTGCAAATACGCGAGTGCCGCTAGTTATAACGTGTCGTGGACTGAGAAAAGGACTATTAGTGCAATTTCGGGAAAATTCTAGAACATTCCATTTGGAAACTACAGGAGATACGTGAATTGTGTCGACGGGAACGTGTAGTAGACTTAAAAACAAGACTATAAGTGATTTTTAGTGACAATTCCAGAACATTCGATTTGGAAACCACAGAACATACGTAAACTGTGTTAACGGGAACGTGTTATAGATTCAAAACAAGACTTATTAGTGATATTTCGTGAAAATTCTCGAACATTCCATTGCACAATTAGTGGAGATAAGTGAATTTTGTCAACACAAAAGAAGTATAGACTCTAAATAAGACTTTCTAGTGCTGTTTCGAGATTTTTCTGGAACATTCCATTAACAAAATAGACGTGATTTCAACATTTTACAGACTTTATAGTATAATAAACTTTATTTTGAACTGATTTACGTGTCGTGAGTTAATGCCAACAACAAGAAGCATGGCGGAGAAACAAACACAAGACTTACTTGCAGCATTGGTCCAACAAATGGAAGAACAGAAAAGAGAATGCCAGGAAGAATTATGGAAAATTATGGACGAACAGAGAAAAATTATGGAAGATCAAGAAAGAAAGCGACAAGAAGAGAAAGATGAACAAAGGAAGATTATGGAAGATCAAGAAAGAAGACGACAGGAAGACAAAGAAGAACAAGAGAGAAGACGACACGAAGAAAAAGAAGAACAAGATAGAAGACGACATGAAGAAAAAGAAGACCAAGAGAGAAGACGACAGGAAGAAAAAGAAGAACAAGAGAGAAAACGCCAGGAAGAAAAAGAAGACTTGATAAAAATGATCGAAGGCCTGGAAATAAGACGACAGGAAGAAAAGGAAGAGCAAAGAAAGGAACGCCAGGAAGAATTAAGATAAATTATGGAGGGACAACATCAAGTCATGCTCTCGGTCACTGAACAATTGAAGGAAGATGTACAGGCTGAAGTCATGGAAGTTAAAGAAGAAGTTAGTGAAGTTAGAGGAGAAATAACTGAAGTTAAGGAAGAAGTAGCCCGGCTCAATCAACAATTAAGAGAGAAGGGTGGCCAATTAGTACCGTCGTCTGGTGCTAGGTTACAACCACCTTCCTTCGAAGGTCAAAGTTCATGGTCAACTTATAAGAGACAGTTTGAGGCAGCTGCACGTTCAAATAACTGGAACGATGAGGAAAAAGGCAACAGCATTGGTATTAGCACTAAGGGGCCAAGCATTAGACCTGCTCCAAACAATTCCTGCCGCACAGCAACAAAACTTTGGCATTTTGGAGGCAGCGTTAGAATTAAGATATGGCGACCAACATCTCGCCCAAGTATATAAGGTTCAGCTCAAATCACGCAGACAACGAGGTGGAGAAAGCCTCCAGGAGTTCGAAGCTGCGGTAGAAAGATTAGCCCAGCTAGCCTATCCT